ATAAAGGGGGTTATGACTTATGTGCACAGAAATCAAACTATAAGGAAGTCTTGTACTTATATTGAAATTATGAGGGGTCATATGCATAAAATTCAAACTATATGGGATTAACTGGCAATTACGCAGTTATTTTAGAGTTTGAATCACCCCAAAATAAAGAAACTACTTATTTTATTTTCAAAAATTACTTTTGAAAAGGAGAAAAAAAAATAGAAGATGAAAAGTCGTCGCAATGCAAAGAGGTAGCTTTGAAGTTTGACCTAGTCAACTAACTATGCTCTTCTCACAAAAAAAACAAATAAATAATAAATTAATTAATAAAATAAAATAAAAGAAGTTTCACCTAACTATGTTGCATAAGAAACACGATAAAAAAAAAATTATTTCAATAGAACAAAACAAAAGAAAAAAAGGTCGCAATTCGCATGCATCACATTTTTGTTTCTTAAATATAAGAAAAGTTGCATTGACAAAGTAATTATTAGACATAATTATTATATAGGCTCAAAATAATGTTTTATGTGTTTAATGATAAAATAGTTATTGAGTTCTCAAGTCAAAAATTTGAGGAATTTAAATACGAGAAGTTGACAACGACCTTCAAGAAAATTATATAATTACAGTAGAATCTCGATAAATTAATATTCTCATATTGTAAAAATCTACTAATTGCTAGTCCTGACTGTATTAATTTATAGAGTTTTTTAAGTGTATGTTTATTTATTTCAATTTTGATTTTAAGTTTTTGGTCTGAAAATAAATACACACGAGTTGTTGCTCATTAATTAAATTGAATTTTGGTGGAGCTTAGTTGTTAACTAAATAAAATCTCCTTTTAAGAGAACCTAATATCCAATATATATCCCCTCGAAGTAAAACTAGATAACTTACGAAACATTGTAGAATTACAAATATCCCCTAAAACTAACAACCCGTTACAAACTCTAACCGAATGAATGTATAGTCTAAATTACTTTCTTTTTATTAAACAAATAAAACTACGGTTAAATTGCATGTAACCTCTTCAGGTAAGACTATGAGTATATTACATTTACCGCGATAAATTTAAAAATTCAGAACGGATATTCATGGAATCTTTAAGATTATGTTACTCATAACTCCTTAAATGTGTAACTGTAAAGAGTAGAAATAACTTAGAGGCGTATTTATAATTATCAATATCACAAGAGCTTGTAAGTTATTTAATCTTAAATCAAAGAAGTGTAACATCATAGTTCCGTATTAGTGTTGCCAAAATATGATTATCTGCAAAAAATATCGAATGCGACTAAACATACCAACAAATCATGTAATTAGAATAATATAATACATTTCCTAATTCCATGATTTGTTGGTATGTTTAGTCGCTTTTAGATTAGTTTTTGTTTTGTTAGATAACCGGCTAATTAATTAATTCAAATTAAATAAATAAAGGGTAAACTACAACCACTCCTAATTTCAAATTACGAAAAATCCCTCATATTTGGATAATTACAACTACACCCATCAACTATGAATTTTCTTACACGTTCATCCTTATGGTGTCAAATTCAACATAATCTTGTAGATTCCGTTGAAATTTTCTCTAGTTTGTACTTGTTTTGTGCGAAAATGCAGTTTCTGATGCACTACAATATGATATATACAGGCCGAAAAACGCATCTTTATGACCATCTTGCTTCAAAATATGAAGTTCGAATGGGATAAAACGCGTATAAAATTGAGAATATCTCATATAATCTAGAAGATTCTATTAAATTCGACACCGCAATGGTGAACGTGTAAGAAGATTTATACTTGAGGGGTGGTTGTAATTACTCAAACATGAGAGTTTTTTTTTCGTAATTTGACCGAGGTTGGTTGTAATTTACCCAATAAATAATAATAATAATAATAATAATAATAATAATAATAATAATAATAATAAAAATCTATTCTTATCACAATCTGAATGAAAGAGTAATGTTCAAAAAAAAAAAAAAATCTGAATACAGATTTTTTGTATATATAAATGTATGTATGTATACACAGATCAAACACCCACAGATTGACCAGTTCTTCTCTCTCTCTCTCTCTCTCCTCTTTCTCTCTCTAGAAGTCATATCGGCGGCTTATTTGCTTTCTCTTATTTTTCAATTCATTTCCTGTTTCAAAGAAGCTTCTTCCCTGCGTCTGCGTATATTCTATTTCGGCAAAATAATTGTTTTTGTGTATGTGGAGAAAGGAGCTGAAATCCGCGCCAACTGATTATTGCGCAGAGTTTGATTTCTGTTCTGTTTTTTTTTTTTTTTAAATTTTTTTTTGGAGTGACGCGTTACAGATTCTGTGATTGATTTTTTCCTTGATATATCCGTTTATTCTCTATATAGAAATACTTTCGTTAGCAGGAAAATTGTAAAAAAAGGGGGAGATCTACCCTAATTTAGCTTCTTGTAGAAGATTGGGGGATTTTTTTTTTGAGCTTTTAGCGTAGCATTTACTTTTATTATTCCATCGAATAAAAAAGGGGTTATTTAAGGTCTATTTTAGTGTACGCTGCTGTGGTATTATTCTGTATCTATATAGTGCCCTTTTGGAAAGATAAGGGTGTAGTGTACAGCTCATTTCATTTATAGGCCACAAAAGCCTATTATTTGCCTATTTGCTGCACACACGTTTGTGAATAAGATGGTGAATTTGCTCTGTGGAAGTGTTGAGTTGAGTTGATTGCTTGTTTTTTTTAGAAGAGAGAGTGAATTCGTTGGATCTTGTCGAAACGGATCCGAATAGGGAAAACGGTGGGTGCGAATCGCTGGCTGATCTGGAGTGCATACTGAATATAATCAGGGCCCTAAGAATGGGGTCCTGCTTTTCCGGTGAAAGCAGGAGCCCTGTGCCCAACTCTCCTATAGGGTTTAAGAAGAGGAAGGGGTCGAAAAGGAAGCCCGCTTCTCGGAATTCATCCTTCAATAATAGGATTGATGAACAGTTGCACAGGATTTCTGGACGGATGTTCTTGAATGGTTCGAGTGATGTCGCTTCGCTCTTTACGCAGCAAGGCAAGAAAGGGACCAATCAAGATGCCATGGTTGTTTGGGAGGTTAGTTCCTGGTGTCTTACTTCTGAATTACTGACGTTTCTTGATTTAATAAATGTTAAGAAAGAGACTAGAGCGATTAGTTGTCGCGTGTTTATTGTTTAAGGGCCGTCGTTTTTTTGCAGTCGGGATTGCTTTTAAGTGCCGTCTGTATGTATTTTGAATTATTATAGAATACCCTTGAGCGAGCTTGTTGATATTTCAAGGCATCTAATCTCACGAACGCTGTTTTGATACCCTTTGATGGTTAAGATATTTATAACATTCAACTTCGTTACGAGGTTCTATTCAGCTGAAGATTTGTGTGCGTTTAACTTTAGTGAACAAATGTTTAAATTGGACCCGGTGCTTCTTGATCTTTTTGCTGATTTGTTGATCCGTGTTTCTTGAAATGGGAAATTGGTACATACTGTACTTGTGGAACTCCGTGTCTTCAACTTTCACCCCCCTACTTTGTGAAAATCTCATGTTTTTTACTTGTTATCTTTATAAGTTAGAAATATGTGTTCGTCTCGATTGATATGGCACTTTCATCTCAGTCCAAATGTCATAAAAGTTCTGTTTCTAGTGATCATCAAATCCTCTTAATGGCCCTTTCCATTTCTTTAAACAAAAAATTGGCGTTGTAAAAGGGCCTGAGGTTTTTGTGCATTCACTGATTTTTTGTGATATAAAATATCCAGAACTTTGGTTCGAGGACAGACACGGTTTTCTGTGGCGTTTTCGATGGCCATGGTCCTTATGGTCATATGGTTGCGAAAAGAGTTCGAGATTCTCTTCCCCTGATGCTGATTGCAAACTGGGAAGTCAATAATATTAAAAGTGGCGAGATTCTTAGGGAGGTCAGTTTAAATACAACAGAAAGTTTGTCGACAGAGGAAGCATCTTCTTGCTTATCTGCCAATGAAGAAGTTATGTCTTCCATTGATTCTGAAGAAGCTTTGAAACAGCAAGGCGTCTTTCAGGCTTTGAAAAAATCATTTCTGAACGCGTTTAAGGTCATGGACAGGGAATTGAGAATGTACACAAATATAGACTGCTTCTACAGTGGAACAACAGCAGTGACCTTTGTGAAACAGGTAATGCAATAATTTTATTTTATTTTTGTCAAAATGCGATAAATACGCAAGTGGTTCTTGGAAATTTACGTCAGTTACTTAATAGTATCTTGATTATATTCTCTAGGGTCAGCATCTTGTAATTGGAAATGTTGGAGACTCAAGAGCTGTATTGGCTACAAGAGATGAAAATAATAAGCTTACTGCAGTACAGTTGACTGTTGACCTCAAACCTAACCTTCCAGGTAACCCTCAAAAACTCGCTAAATAATTTTAACAATTTACTGAGAAAAAAAAGTTATTCCTTTCAATTGGAGACTCCTTTCTGGTGATCAAGTGTTAAGTATCTGTTTCAAATGACCCGTTTATGAAGTGCACTTTAAGTTTCTGGTTTGGAGTTTCTAGATTACTGCCACTCTATCTGTCGATTATCCTTTTGCGTTTGTGAGTGCGTTTTCCACTATCACTGCTCATTTTCCCGTAAAAGATGTTTTATGCTTATCTTCTGCTTTATTTGATTTTGCCAAATATCTTCTGATCTTTGAATAATATTTAGACTTCCTATCGATGTGATAGTTATTTGTCTATCTTATGTGATTTTTTTTTATAATGATGAGCAGCAAAAAAGGATGCTAGGAATTTCCATGAATACCCCTATCGCCATTTTTTTTACGGGATAGAAACTTAGGCTAGCTAAGTTTGGCCCCAAAGGTGCTGATGAGAATATGTATTAATATAAATTATCCCTTTGAAGGATCACCACTATTCCCGATGTCAAAATTCGTATCAAGTCTTGATTGATCTAAATACTTTCTGATTGAATTATCTTTGGTTTCCCACAGCGGAAGAAGAGAGGATCCGCAAATGCAAAGGACGTGTTTTTGCCCTTCAAGACGAACCAGAGGTGGCAAGAGTGTGGCTACCAAACAACAACTCTCCAGGCCTTGCAATGGCACGTGCCTTCGGTGATTTCTGTCTTAAAGATTTCGGTCTTATCTCAGTCCCAGAAATTTCTTACCGACACATCACTAATAAAGACGAGTTCGTAGTCTTAGCTACAGACGGGGTACCAAAAATAACCTTAATTATAGTTTTATTCACAACATTCTTTTACGAGTTTTTAATTTTTTTTTGTTGGGGGCAGATTTGGGATGTCCTTTCGAACAAGGAGGTGGTGAAAATTGTCAGTTCTTGCCCCTCACGCTCGCAAGCAGCTCGAGCTGTAGTAGAGACAGCTGTGAGGGCATGGAGGTCAAAGTACCCCACTTCGAAAGTCGACGACTGTGCTGTGGTTTGCCTCTTTCTAGACTCGAACGAGTCCACTACTGCATCATCTACAAATTCTACAATCACATCAAAAACGAATACGATGCCTTCACCGGAAAAGGATATTCCCGTTCCAAATGGATTGATTCGTTCTGGCACAGTTAGAGAAGAAGAAGAAGAATAATCTGCTCTTGAAGAAGTCTCCTGTATAAACAACAACACACACACACGCACATTCACACGGTGTAAAGAAGATACAGAAACTGAAGGAGAAAATGAAGGCTATAATAGGTAACGTTGCCAGATATATCGGCTTTCGACTTATGTTTTCTTGTCCAGTTTCTGTTTTCGATATTATATTGCATTTTTTTCCCGTCATTTACTTTAAAAAAAACGAAAAAGGACACAAAATAAATAATCGATACAGGGTTGTTTACGTTTAGGAGAGATGGACCGGACTAATATTAGAGTGTTCCGGGTTAATCCTATCTCTCTCTGTCGTTATGTCGATAGAATTGGAATTTTGCCGTTTTTTGTGTTTTTTTTTTCTTCTTTTTTTGGTTCTTGAATTATGTGTGATCTGTATCAACTCTTGTGGGATCTTTTTTCATTGCAAGTTGTAGTAGATTCATTTCCAAAACACTCCTTTTCATTATGAGTTTTTGTGGTGCAGATTTGGTTATTGCCAACTTTATATTGGTCTTTGTTATTTATTGATGAATGTGACTGCAATTCACAAACTTTTGGTCCCACTATGAATGAATGCTATTTCAGTGGCTTCAAACAATGTGAAAGAGATTGCTTTATTTGACTTTTTTAAATATTAAAGAAGCTTTATATAGTTGTGGGCTGTATTTAATCTTTGAATATTAACATATATTAATGGGTCTTTTATTTATTTATTAAGTCAATTTCAAGGGACCCTTTTTTTTTTTGTTTTCCATGCATTTATTACCGAAAACAAAAAAGAAAAATATCTTCTAAAAAATAATCATTTCAAATTTAATAGATAATTTGAGTTTTTTTTTTTTTTTTTTTTTTAATTTCAAATTTCATTCCGAATTTTTCATAGATTTTGGAATTAGAATGAATTACTAAATTCTGAAAATTTTGGAATTGGAATCTACTAGAAAATTTTGGAATTGGAATCTACCACAATGGCAGGGGCTAGACACGGCCACGGGCCGGTTCGGGCCGGTTCCGGGCCGGTTCGGACCGGTTCACGGTTCACATTTTCCGGAACCGGAACCGGCCCGTGGCGTGCACGGTTCACCGGGCCGGGTCGGCCCGCCGGTTCGGGCCGGTTCACGGGCCTATCCGGGCCGGTTCCGGGTCGGCCCGGAAATTTTGAATTTTTTTTTTTTTTGTTTTTTTTTTATTTTGAAATATTTAATGAATAAGTAAATTAAAAGAAATACTTTTAAATAAATAAAGGAAAAGGAAATAAATGAAAAGTCAATTTAGAAGCACAAGTTTGAAATATTTGATGAATAAGTAAATTATAGGAAAAAATGGGGTGTGAGGGTATTTATAGGAAAAATTGGGGGGGTTTGGGGGCAAAAAAAATTCAAAAAAAAGCAAAATTGGGGTGTGAGGGTATTTATAGGAAAAATTGGGGTGGAAAAAAAATTAAAAAAAATTCAAAAAAAAGTAAATAACGGCCGGTTCACCCGGGCCGGTTCACCGGGCCGGTTCGGGCCGGTTCACTAGCCGTTATTTGCTTTTTTTTTGAATTTTTTTGAATATATATATATATATATTTTTTTTTTTTAAATCCGGGTGAACCGCCGGGCCGGCCCGGCGGTTCACGGTTCACCAAATCTAAGAACCGGGCCCGTCCCGGGTAGGACAGGCCGGTTCACGGTTTCGGGCCGGTTCACACGGTCAACGGGCCGGTTTGGGCCGTCAACGGGCCGGTTCCAAGCCCAAAACCGGCCCGTGGCCGTGTCTAGCAGGGGCCATGAAGATATTTATTTACATATAAAAAAACAAAAAATAACTTTTATTACGAAATTGATATGATTTTGTTTACAAACTCGAAAATGTAAATATCACAAAATTCCAAAACTTTGACATTCAGAATTTTCTTTGCAATTTCAACACGTACATCAGTACATGTTGATATTTTGTGAAAGTTGTACAAGTTGAGTATTTGAATGAGGGGTATTTTTGTACTTTATGGTCTTACACTAAGTAAATAGTGGTAACATTCGGTCTTCAATTTAGGGATGCACTTGATTAAGAGAAAGGTGGTATTGCAAATAGCCGCCTCCAAATTACACGAGAAAGAAGAAATAATTTGGGCCCTGATAACAGCTACAAATAGTTGGGCTTCTGAATCGGGCCTTACATTATTTATGATAAAATTATTCATTTTTATTATAAACTAGTATCTCACCTGTGCGATGCATGGGAATCAAGTCTCATATCAAAGTGCATTGATGTAAAAAAAAAAAGAAAAAAAAAACATCAACGATCAAACAAAAAAAATGTGTTTCGTCTTATGAGCAAAAAGTCTACATAAATATAAAAATGATAATGTTATAAATATAAAAAAACAAAAAACTAAAAAACATCGACGATCAAAGAAAGAAAAATGTGTTTCGTCTTATGAGCAAAAAGTCTACATAAATATAAAAATGATAATGTTATAAATATCATCCACGTCGAAATTCCACAACCAAACTTCAAGAATTTCAACAGAGCAAACGAATCAATGAACCACTATTTCGCATTAATCTAAATATTGATACATTATAACACGAAACTACAATCAAATCCACCATTACAGGACGAATAACATGTTATTATTCATTAATTTCAATATATAACTTCAACTCATCACTTACACAAAAATAAAAATATATAAATAAAATATGAAGATGTATGCATATACTAACCTTGCACAAAAAACAACATACTCAATTACTCATGGAAAATTATACTCATTGCAAATAAACGTGAATATACAAAAATGCACATGTTTAAGTAACAAATGGGTTGTGAGAATTCATTATTGATCTCATTATTATGTCCAGTGTTTTAAAACAAAACTCATGTATCATCGACTTCTCTTTAGAGAATATTGCATGTAACATTCGTAACTATCGACATATTGGAACTTGGAAAATATTTTTATACCATATCTACTTATAACTCTCGACATTGTGACATATATTTGCCCATGTGACATTTAATATTACACTAATACTACACTAAAAACTCATAATAATTATAAAGCAAATACTAATATTGATACTGATAGTAATACTGATACTAATAGTAATATTAATATTAATACTAATGCTCATACACATACACATACTCATGCTCATACACATGCTCGTACTCGTACTCATACTTGTACTCGTACTCATACTCATACTTGTACTCGTACTCATACTCGTACTCGTACTCATACTCGTACTCATGCTCGTACTCATAATCATACTAAGATTATTTATGTAAATATACAAAGTTATTCATTTTTTATAGATAATTGTAATTTATGTAAATAACTAAATATATAAAGGGTAAATTACAACCACCCCTTGAGGTAAAGTCAAATTACAAAACGCCCATTATGTTTGAGTAATCTAATATAGTTAGAAGTCAAGAGACACATCTTATGGTCATCTCGTTTCAAAACGTAGAGCTCGAATATGATAAAATTAGTACAAACTTGAGAATATTCCACATAATCTAAAAGATTCCACTAAATTTAACACCGCACGAGTGGACGTGTTAGAAGATTCATAGTTGAGGGGTGGTTGCAATTACCCAAACAAAAGGAGATTTTTAGTAATTTGACCTTACCTCAGAGGGTAGCCGTAATTCACCCAATATATAAATTAAAGGGTTAAATACAAAAACGCCCTTGTACTATGGAGTTTGTATCAAATACCCCCTATACTACACATAAATACAAAACCCCCCTCACATTACATTTTTTTCAAAATATGACGAAAATACCCCTGCTTAGCCTATAATTTAAATGGTTTGTTTGAGTCATTTTCCACTATATTTTTAATATTTTCGGTCAATTTTACTTGAAATTTTGATATTTATATTTTTTTCTCCAAAACATTAAATTACTTAGTTTTTTTTTTCTCAATAAAACCTTTTATTTTTTTCCGGTAGTTCAAATTCTCAACAATCATAGAATTGTAAAGATGTTTGTAATCTTATGATGTTTGAACTACCGGAAAACATTTAAGAAAAAAAAATGAATAAACTCAAAATGAAAAAAATAAAAGGTTTTTATCAGAAAATTAAAAAAAATATAAGCAATTAGATGTTTTGGAGAAAAAAATATAAATACCAAAATTTTCCACGTAAAATTGACTGAAAATGGCTCAAACAAACCCTTATAATAAATGCTTGAGTAGGGGTATTTTCGTCATATTTTGAAAAAAATGTAATGTGAGGGGTTTTTTTGTATTTATGTGTAGTACAGGGGGGTATTTGATACAAACTCCATAGTACAGGGGTGTTTTTGTATTTAACCCTAAATTAAATCACCACTTAGATCTATGTTATCTCTACCACTTTCCGAAATTAATTGTCCGTTAGAACCCTATCGGAATAACTTATTCAATGCATTATCCCGTTCGAGTTTCTAATAATGATTGAGGGGTGATTGTAATTACCGATATCACATGGACCTTAAAATTATTTTAACATACCTAAGGGGTGTTGGTGTAATTTAATTATTACTTTTTGTACCCAAGCAAGAAAAAAAGAAAGAACAACTCTAAAACGCGACTTCTACAAAAAAAAAATAAAAAAAAAATATAAAACGCGATTTAAATGAAATCGCTGAAAGTAAAAGGGGAAGAGTAGAGAGAGATCTCAATTTAGGAAATTAGTGCTTCAGTCTACTGTCCTCTAGGGGAATTTTACTTGATTTCTTAACCAAATTCAACCACGAAAATCCCTCCGCCGACCGCCGATATCTACAGCATTAATCGGTAAATTTTTATTTTGATTTTTGTTTTTTTTTTTGCCTCGAATTAATCACCGAACCATCAAATAAAGAGCTCGTTATGGATCTGAATTGCCAAAAATCTCTATTATTTGTTTGTTATGAATGCTCAGATTAAGGATTGGTTAGATGCATTTGTCGAGTTTAATTATTAGGCATTTTGTTGATTCGTGTGAATTTATTGTTGTTTTGGATTCCGGAGCATGATTGTGTATGTATTGACATTTATGGATCTGCATGATAAGATCCACATTTTTTTTTTTGCTGTTCTGATTCATTTTGTGATCCGAGAAGGTAAGATTTTTTTCTTTTTTGTGGTTGTGGATTTTGTGGTTCCTATTAGTTATCGTAATTAGTTGAATTATTCTTATCCACTGTAACGATGATTGTATTTTCTAGATTTTGATTCTTGATTTGTCTTGCTGTACACTTTGAATATTGGATCAAACATTTGCAAAATCTGAGTCTGTTGATAAACGGATCGCATGAGTGCTCAATTGCTACTAGTTTTAAGAAATACCAAATTAGGGACTTTATGTGTGGAGAGATACTAAACTACTAAATTTCAATGTCCTTTGATCCAATGTGCAATGCCATCATTCTTGCTTCACGATTTTTTTTTTTTTTTTTTTACATAGTATCTGGTCCTTGAATCTTATTAGTAAAGTTTAATGGTCAGATAACGAGTGAAAAAAAATGGAGAAATCTTGTTCTTTGCTGGTACATTTCGACAAGGGCACACCAGCACTCGCTAATGAGATCAAGGAGGCACTCGAAGGGAACGACATTCCAGCTAAGATCGACGCCATGAAAAATGCAGTTAGGCTTCTGCTGAATGGCGAAACCCTACCTCAGCTGTTCATTACTATAGTTAGATACGTCTTACCCTCTGAGGACCACACTGTTCAGAAGCTGCTATTACTCTACTTGGAGATCATTGGTAAAACTGATGCAAAGGGAAGAGTGTTACCAGAAATGATTTTAATCTGTCAGAATCTCCGGAATAATCTTCAGCACCCTAATGAATACATCCGTGGTGTCACCCTAAGGTTTCTTTGCCGGCTTAGCGAAGTAGAGATAATCGAACCGTTAATCCCCTCTATTATGTCAAACTTGGAGCACAGGAACCCTTACGTTAGGAGAAGTGCAATTCTTGCTGTGATGTCCATTTACAAGCTCGAGCATGGGGAGCAGCTATTGGTTGATGCTCCTGAGACGATCGAAAGATTTCTCTCGACAGAACAGGACCCATCAGCCAAGAGGAATGCCTTTCTGATGCTTTTCAATTGTGCCCAGGACCGTGCTGTTAATTACCTTTTAACCAATGTTGACAAAGTGCCAGACTGGGGTGAACTTTTGCAGATGGTTGTATTGGAGCTGATCCGAAAAGTTTGCAGGACAAACAAAGGAGAGAAAGGGAAATACATGAAGATTATTTTATCTTTACTGAATGCCCCGTCAGCTGCTGTCGTTTACGAATGTGCCGGAACCCTGGTTTCTCTGTCATCTGCTCCAACGGCCATTAGAGCTGCAGCAAGTACGTACTGTCAGCTTCTTCTCTCTCAGAGTGACAATAATGTCAAGCTCATTGTGCTTGATCGCCTGAATGAACTCAAGTCTTCGCACAAAGAAATCATGGTTGACATGATAATGGATGTTCTTAGGGCACTGTCTAGTCCAAATCTCGACATCCGAAGGAAAACACTTGATATTGTTCTGGAACTGATCACGCCCCGCAATGTCAATGAGGTGGTTCTTACTCTAAAGAAGGAAGTTGTGAAAACTCAAAGTGGGGAGCTCGAGAAGAATGGGGAGTACCGTCAAATGCTCATTCAAGCTATCCATTCTTGTGCTATAAAGTTCCCTGAAGTGGCAAGCACAGTGGTTCACCTTTTGATGGATTTCTTGGGTGACAGCAATATAGCATCTGCAATGGACGTTGTTGTTTTTGTGCGAGAGATAATCGAAACCAACCCAAAGTTAAGGGTTTCTATCATCACCAGGCTTCTGGATACTTTTTATCAGATCCGAGCAGCAAGGGTTTGTTGCTGTGCTCTTTGGATTATTGCAGAGTATTGTCTGTCTCTTTCTGAAGTTGAGAGCGGCATTGCAACCATAAAGCAGTGCCTTGGCGATTTACCCTTCTTTTCTATTTCCGAAGATGATGAAGCTGCTGATTCTTCAAAGAAAGCCCAGCAGGCAACCTCGATTACTATTTCGTCAAGAAGACCGGCTATCCTTGCTGATGGGACTTATGCTACTCAAAGCGCTGCATCTGAAACTGCTTTCTCCACTCCAGCTGTAGTTCAAGGATCTTTGACCACAGGGAATTTGAGATCTCTTCTTCTCACTGGTGATTTTTTCCTTGGGGCAGTTGTTGCATGCAGCCTATCGAAGCTCATTTTAAGATTAGAAGAGGTTCAACCTTCAAAGATTGAAGTGAATAAAGCATCCACCAACGCGTTATTGGTTATGGTCGCAATGGTACAGCTAGGGCAATCCTCAGTTCTCCCTCACCCAATTGATAATGATTCTTACGAGAGGATTGTTCTTTGCATTAGACTGCTTTGTAACCCAGTGGATGCTGTGAGGAAGATCTGGTTGAAGTCTTGTCGTGAGAGTTTTGTTAAGATGCTTTCAGATAAACAACTGCGTGAAACCGAAGAAATTAAAGCAAAAGCTCAGACTACTCATTCACAGCCAGATGACCTTATCGACTTCTACCATTTGAAGAGTAGAAAGGTGAAAATCTGCATTTTCCATCTCTTATATATGTTTTGATGAATATTGAATTTCCGTTGTGTTTTAGAACCTGAATCTTGCGCTGTTTTCATCCAAGTTCGATCTTCGTAATATATATATCCTGGTATTCTCTCTGTGCACACACAGTATAGTAGTGACTCACCCTTAATCTCCACCCTGTTTTCCTTTAATTGGTCAATATATCAAGGATTGAAACTGCCTAAAATTCTCTCTCATCATTGTGTTTATCTGTGGGATTATTCTTTGACCTAGTTGTTTGCTGTAGACAACATATTAATCGCTAATCATTTCTTTCATTGTTATCTTTTTGTTCAGGGCATGAGTCTGCTGGAGCTGGAAGATCAGGTCCAAGATGATCTCAAACGTGCTACTGGGGAATTTATTAAGGATGCGGATGATGCAACTAAGTTAAATAGGATCATTCAACTCACCGGATTCAGTGACCCTGTGTATGCTGAAGCTTATGTGACAGTTCACCACTATGATATTGTCCTTGATGTTACAGTTATAAATAGAACGAAAGATACCCTTCAGAATTTGTGTTTGGAGTTGGCTACGATGGGTGATCTTAAACTTGTTGAGCGCCCGCAGAATTATACTCTAGCACCCGAATCAAGCAAGCAAATAAAAGCAAACATTAAGGTGTCTTCTACTGAAACTGGAGTCATATTTGGAAACATTGTTTACGAGACCTCAAATGTGTTCGAGCGTACTGTTGTTGTCCTCAACGATATTCATATTGACATAATGGACTACATATCTCCTGCTGTGTGTAGTGATGCTGCTTTTAGAACCATGTGGGCGGAATTCGAGTGGGAGAACAAGGTAATAATATGACACTTATATTGCTATTATTATCCAGGTTTAGATGTTAAGAAACTTAGTATTTTCGGTTGCCCTCGTTTTATTGTTAAGTGATATATATATTTCATGGAGATGATAATTTTCTTGAATTGATTAATATGTTCTTAAAACTAATGTAATGGCATAGCTTATTGGGTCCAGTCTAGTTTTCTTTTTTCGACTTTCCACAGCTTCAATGAACTGAAAGCTTGCATGATCCTACTGTCATTTATCATATTGATTTCTATTGCTATGTTAATATAAGTCAATAACTTTGGAAGAAATTCTGCTTATGTTGTTCTGTAGCTTTTGTAAACTCATTCATAGAAAAGAAAGAGGATTGCTCGACTGTGTTTCCTGTTAATTGCTTTATATGCTAGGAATCAAGGACAAAGGGGACAATAAACGCCCCTTTCACTGATCATAAAGTCTGACTTGAAAGAATATTAGTTGCGTTTGGTGATGTTTTTGGGAAAACTGTAATTCGTTAGTAGTACTTCATGCAGTAGCTATTGCTATGCCTTTATCATGCATCGGAAAGTTGTTTTACTTTTGGTAATGCTCAATAATTTTGGTACGTATTTATCTATAAATATGTACGTATTTGGCTTCTTCTTCTCCTGCAATGGCAGGTACGTTGATTTATGCAGCTTTAAGAAACTAATATGTTGTTCCATGGTTATCTGTAAACTGAGTGTTCTGATTTGTTCTTAACTACCCATTTTCTCGTGGAGAATCAACTGCGTTTATTAACTACTGTGTTAAGCATTATTCTTAGTTATTTCATATGTTGGGAATCCTCTCTTATTTTTATATGTTCTCTAGAGAAGTTGGTACTCGTTGCTTTTCCCTAAGTTTCCGTTTTTTTTGTGTGTGTCTATTTGTTTTTCCAGGTTGCTGTCAACACAACAATTACAAATGAGAGAGAATTTATTGACCACATAATCAAATCGACCAACATGAGATGCCTAACTGCTCTGTAAGTCATTTATTTATGTTTGTCAAGCTTTTGTAATTCTTCCGACTTTTCCCCCAAAACAAAATTATGTCTTCCATTTACCGATTATGAAATCTAATTATGTCACGATTGCACGATTTGTTTACCAGGTCTGCTCTAGAAGGTGACTGTGGATTCTTGGCTGCTAACCTATACGCCAAGAGTGTTTTCGGCGAGGACGCTTTGGTAAATATCAGCGTCGAGAAACAAGGAGACGGCAAACTTAATGGATATATCAGGATAAGGAGCAAAACTCAGGGAATCGCCCTCAGCTTAGGTGACAAGATTACCCTCAAGCAGAAGGGAGGGATCTGATTATATAATTTTTTTTATCCCATTCCGTTAGCTCGTTAATTTACGTACGTATACTCAGTTTATGGCAGCCAATGGCCGAAGAAAACGGTAAAAGAATCTTTTTCCGTAAACTACTAATTCTTTTTCATGCAAATCCATACAATTGTCGAATTTTGCTTTTCCATTTGTGTTTTAATTTCAATCTGTTATGATCTGCAGGTTTTGCATTTCAGATATATATATATATTTGCTTTGACATTTTTTTTACTATTTTAATTTGGGAAAGATTGGACCATCTTATAGATACTTTTTGGGGAAGAAATACGATCGATTCGGCCGGTTTTTTTTTTTTTTTTTTCTCTCGAATTTTTGAAATAATTGTGAACTTTGTTTTTTGTTGCTGTCAAATGATTGTAATGTTATATACATACAGCAGTAAATGATTGTTAGGAAAGTCGATATACAGTTAAACTTCCATAAATTAATATAATCGGGACCAACAAAATTCTATTAATCTGACAAAACATTAAATTATCGAACTACTAATTTGATATGTTTTCATCGAGTCGAGACTGGGAGAAATTATTTAGATATTGTAATTTTATTTTGTTATATTAGTTTAAGAGCAAAAATTCGAAATAATTTAGTAGATTTTATAAACTATACAAATCAATAATAAATTGTATTTTATTTTAAATACTTAAATAAATATCAGTGTCTTTTGGCATGCCCTCATCTTGGTAAAAAAAAAAATGAATTATTTATTATCTTAAAAAAAAAAAAATATATATATATATATATATATGAAGAAGCTTTTACCAAGTGGGCTCCACGCGTACACGTGAAACTTGTACCTTGTTCATCAGTTGTTGTACCTTGTGCAACTTTGGTAGTTTTACTTTTTTAACCAATACAAATTTTATCGTATCTTATTTATTTATTTGAGTGAATGAAACTAAAAGAGTGATAACTATTCCCAACAGCTCCCTTTCTCTCTCTTGTTTCTCTCTCTAAACCTTTCCCCCTTTTTGCACCGTCAGGAAGCCGAATTGCCTTCCGCCGACTCTCTCCCCTCTCTTCGATTTCCCCTTAAATCTGGTTTATGAGGTAATTAAATCCCGCCGCGTAATCCGTTCTGCAGTTCTTGTGCTGAAATTCGGTCGCTATCTTGTGATATTGTTTTGATTTATTCCGGTTTTCTTTTCTTTTCAATACCTAGATCTGCCTTCGTTTTTTTTTTTTCGTTTTTTTTGGGTATTTGATTGGTAATTGGGGTATTTTTTTAGGGGTTAACTAGTAGCTATTAGGCTTGGTAATTTAATCTTGCTCTGTTTTCAATTGCTTCTTGGTACGTTGATATTGCAAAAAAGGGTTTCTTTTTTAACTTTCTGGCAATTGTGTACTCTTTCGGGAGTTGAATCTGTTATTAGGGTTTCAATTTGGGGCACTGTTTTCTTTGATTTTGATATATCGTGATTAAAATATGACTTTTTTTTTTTTGGTTTTTGCAGCTCGAAGGAGAAGCCCACTCTCGGGTAAGTTTATTGATAACTTCCGAAATTTTTGTAATTATTCAAGTTCTTGATGTGTACTTTATTGAGAATTTTTTTTTTTTGATTTTTTTTAAGGTCAAGTTCTTTCCAGATATTGAAAAATGTTTTCTTCTTTCCGTTTTCTATAGAAAAAATTATATTAAAAAACATAGAGAAGTTGATATTTTGGAGTAGTTGTCTGGCCCTGAAGCTGATATTCTCTTACATGAATGGATTTCATTGATTATCTTCTTTCTCAGTTTCACAAGTTGATGTATAATAATTTTGCTACAGTGGCACGCGGATTAAGACCCGCAAACGGAATATTGCTGCTCCTCTTGACCCTGCAGCATTTTCGGATGCAGTGGTCCAGATTTATTTGGATAATGCTGGTGATCTGGTACTTTTTTTTTTGTATTGTTGTTTTTAAGGATTTATTTGTACTTGATTGCGTATTTATGGGAGAACGTGCGTCAACTAGAGCCAGTATACCCTAGAATGTTAAAGTAATATTTACTGTTTGTTGTTCAGGAACTTGTCGCTAAGAGCATTGAATCTTCAGACCTTAATTTCTCTAGATACGGTGACACATTCTTCGAGGTTAGTTTCTTGAATTTTTATTTGTGGCATGTAATTTTGACAAGTCTGATACTAGCAGTGTAATTATTTGATGTGTGCTATACTTAGTTCTCTTGTATGGGAAGTCCAGATTTTTTTTAATTTTGACGTTCTTGTTGTGCGTGTTAAATAAGCCTGCCAAAGAATCTGAATTTGATGTTTTGGCATGGAAGTGTTGAAATTTGTTTGATTTTCTGCTGTAAAATGCAGTGTATAATTGTGAAAAGACTCTGAAAGGAAATGCCTATTCTTTCCGTAAAATAACAGAAGTTGGCTAAGCAATGTTTTACTTCTAGTTTGAGTACAACTATAACTTTATATGTTCACTTTTCAGTTCCAACTTAAAGCTACAATATTTTTTATTTAACTGGTACTTCAGTGTTGAAAATGAATATCATTTTGAGCTTGGTATGGGTTATCTTATTTCTTATGTAGCCTTATTACCCCGGCTTCTGCCAGCTGAGCTTTTTATTTTATAAATAAATATAGGTGGTCTTCAGAGGTGCACGTACACAACCAGGAACATTTAAACTTGATGAGGGGGAGCACCATCCCTATGCTATAATTGACTGTGAGCCTAAGCGTGAAGTCATATTGCCATCTGTTATATACATACAGAAGATCTTGAGGAGGAAGCCTTTCCTTATAAAGAATCTTGAGAATGTTATGCAAAGATTCTTACAGTCTTTGGACTTTTCGAAGACGATGAAAGGAAGAAGCTTGCCATTTTCACTGCACTTGCCTTCTCTCAGAAGTTGTCCGGGCTCCCACCCGAGACTGTTTTCCAGCCACTGCTCAAAGATAACCTTGTGGCCAAAGGATTAGTTCTTTCGTTTATCACTGATTTCTTCAAGGAATATTTGGTTGATAATAGCCTTGATGACCTGATTTCAATACTGAAGAGGGGTAAAATAGAGGACAATCTTCTTGACTTTTTCCCATCTGCAAAACGAACCCCGGAAGTTGTGTCTGAACATTTCACGTAAGTTTTCTCAAACGTACACAAATGTGGTTAATGGATAATATGTTATTATTTTTTGAACTAGTAGCTTTTTTTTTTTTTTTTCTATTATTATCATATGTGTTCTATTACAGAATGATCCTAAGATCTATTGTTGTTTTTCTGTTCCTTTTGAACTGGAAATGTGTGTTATTGGGTGACATCCACACACACACACACAGATTGAAATTCTAACACTGGATTAGGGGTATGGTAGGCTGATATTAGAAAGCAGACCGGGCAAATATTTCCCAGTCTGGTACATGGAATACCTATGAAAAATCAGTAAACAATCCGTCTGAAAATATTGGAATTATCTGATGATACTTGAGTTTTGGTTTCATACTTGAGCATTAAATATTGCCGAAAGAGTTCACATTTTGCTGATCTTTTTGGGAGTGTTTGCGTTATTATGATTGAGTTGAGAGCTTTGCAAAAAAAAAGAATGTATATGATGGCCCCTTGAGATTGCATCTGAATTAATCTAGAATGTTATACTAGCCAGTAGCCAGTTATTATTATTATTATTATTATTATTATTATTATTATTATTATTATTATTATTATTATTATTATTATTATTATTATTATTATTATTATTATTGGTCTAATATAAATAAATTTTTGTTTTATTACTCCAAAACATATTGCATCCATATCCAATCACAAGGTTATTATTATTGTGTAGTTAAATATCTTTGTGGCTGGTTGGATTATATGAAGCTAATTGGCTGCAAGTCTTTTTTAATATATATATATATATATATATATATATATATATATATATATGTACACACACATACATACATACAACTTTCTGTGAATATGTATGATTTCTGAGGCTGTCCAGTCCAGTTATGTTCGGACATTGCTAAAGATTAACATACCAGTAGTTACCTATCGAAGAACTTACATTCTGTTGTTATTTGTCTCCTCTCTTATTAAACTGTTGATTGTTTTTTACTATTTAGTCTGAATTCACTGACACTTGAATGATCTTGTGTCTCACAGCAAGGAAGGACTTCTAATATTGGTCGAGTACAATGAAAAGAAGTTATTCGATGTGAAGCTTAAGGAAATGAAATCTGCACTAACAACCCAGTTAGCAGAGGAAGTCGACATATCTGACATCATAGAAACTGTCAAACAACATGTGAAAGATGCTAAATTCCCAGACATTGAGGTTGTGCGAATCCTATGGGATGTCATGATGGATGCTGTGCAATGGTCGGCAAAGAATCAGCAGCAGAATGCTAATTCAGCTTTGCGTCAGGTAAGGGCCTAATTCTCGAGTTTGCTAGTCTTTTTGCTGCTGCTTTTTTTAATTTTGCTAGATATGTATGGAATCATATTCCGATTAATGACACATAAGAAGAGGTCTTATATATGTATAATATATATTGTTTTATTTTAGGTAAAAACGTGGGCACCTCTGCTGAATACCTTCTGTACAACTGGAAAGCTGGAACTGGAACTTATGTACAAAGTTCAGATACAGTGTTACGATGATGCTAAAATGATGAAGTTGTTCCCTGAAATAATAAGGTCACTTTACGACCAAGATGTTCTTGCGGAAGATACTATTCTTCACTGGTTTCATAAAGGGACAAACCCTAAGGGCAGGTATGCATATGCTATGCTGCACAACTTTTTAACTAAACACATGTTTATCTTTTTTTACTTTTTTATTTATTTAATTGCAGTTGCTCCCCATCCTCGTTCTTTTTTTTTCCGAGATTGATAAAATCAATAATTTTCCATGTGAAAATGTACATGCAAGAACTTCCATTATGGTCTTCTCGCATGGATTTGAAGGATATGCTGAAATTATCTCTTCTTAAAGCTGTACATTAATACTGTCGTTTGTTGTTTGTTTACAGGCAATCGTTTGTGAAGGCATTGGAGCCTTTTGTGAAATGGCTGGAAGAGGCAGAGGAAGAAGAATAAGTTGCTGTGGCTGCGCTGTGATTTCTTCTGCCATTCCTTCCTTCAATCGCTTTTTTCGTTTTTTAATGAGATAATGAACTAGAAAGATCAGTAGACTTGTTTTATGATTTGACATGGATGTTGTTCTCGATAACTCCCTTATAAGACTTATCTCTCTCTCTCTCTCTAGATCTGTGTGTGTATGTGGTGTGTGTGAAGCAGACATAGGGTGATTATGTGCTTTTGATGGCTTAACTTTGGACTAACCGTTATAGGCTTGGTTTTGTCTGAGGATATTTTTGTAGCAATAATAAGTAGGTGAAAGTTGATAAAACTGATTAAAGGAAAGCGAACAACGACAAATAAGAATCATATGTTAGTGTTAATAAAACAACTCAGAAGCATCAATTCTTCTGATAAACTATCAGAACCACTCAACTAGTGTGTGTGTGTGTCAAAAGTGTCTCGAAGTGTGTATATGCATGAATATTATTTGTAAGTGCGAAAGCTGAGTATGGATTTTGAAAAGCCAGAGTATGGATTTTGAACTGTGCAAATTGAGATATTAAACCAGATTCAACCACACAAGTTGCGACGACATGCGACCATCTAAGTCGAGATATTCAATAAGTCAAGCATCCAAGACGAGAAATTCAATAAGTCAAGATACTAAACTACATAAGTTCATTTAAAGATGCAATGGATCCAATTCGGATTGATCCGGCCTATCCATTTTGGATCCATTCATGTGCTGATTCTGGATTTGAGCAAATGATATTAAAAAAAAAAAAAAAAAAAAGGTATACAAATGCATTAAGTATGAGCTTTTTATTAAGTTACTGATACATTAAAGCTCAAGACAAAGCCAATAGAAAACAAGAAAATACTCATGAGCAAATCCATAAACAACTTCATATGATAAAACTTTATTGAGTGCCCAAATCTTTTAAAAGATCCAAACATTAGTTTTTTTTTTTTCCTAAGTCAACTTGTGAATAGTCTTCATATCAGCTGCTTCTTCGAGAGTACCTTTCTCGACGTGGTCCCACCATTTGAACAAGAAGTTATCGACAACTAATCTGAACCATGGTGAGAGCTTTATACCTTCCTCACCTGCATCTGCTTTTCTCAATAGTTCTTTCAGCTGTTGTTGGTTTACGTATTTCACATCCACTACTTCGTCTGGATTTGGGTGCACGCTTACATCCCGGATTATGAAGAGGAGATAATCCACTGCGTATAGCAAGATAATTTACTCATAAAATATTGCGTATGTATCAAGAAAACAGATAAACATGCAAGGATTTTAAGGAAAAAAACATGTGACACAACTATGGATGGAAATGGGAATGAAATTTCCGAATTACTTCGTCTCTGATCCGGATATTTCCGACATTGGAGCAATGTTTTTTCATTTCGAATTCCGATTCTTTTTGAATTTTTCTTGGTAGGGAATTGGTATACATATCAGGTTTCGATTTCCTATCCAATTTAAATTTCCGAAAATATTTCTGAAAATTCCGAAAAAAATTTCAACGTAAATTACGCTTAAAAGTTTTAAAAATTGATACTATTATGTATCTTATATTATAGGCGACTAAACTTGGGAATTTCGGAAATCGGAATGAAAAAACTTACTCCAAAATCGGATTTTTTTTTCCGATTTACACCCCTAAACACAACTAAAATACGCAAAAGTCGAAGATATAAATTAATAAATGCATCATTGATAACAAAAAGTAGTTAATGAAAACCAAAGGGAGTAGTAATTTACATTCATGCTCTCCCCATTTTCCATCTGACGGTGCTTTGTAGAGAATACGGCCCAGAGGAGTAAACTGATCGACTGGGACATCTTCAGCAGGAATGCCCAATTCATCGAAAAGCTTTCTTTGAGCAGCATTTCTTGCCCCTTTAAATAAAAAAATAAAATGAAAACACGGTCAAAATAAGACATTGGCAGGCAAAAACAAAATCGAAATATGAATACATAGTAAAATAAATACCAAGAGCTTTTTCTTCAATAAGCTCAGAGTCTCGGTACAGCGGATGACTGCAGCAGGTGTTTGTCCACACGAGAGGAAAGGTCACCTTAGTTGCCGAACGTTGCTGCACAGCAGAATAAAGAGTACATAATTAAATAATAAGCATCAAATTTTGTTTTAGAATAAATATGTCATTTTTTTTTTAAAATGCTACATTTTAAAGGATTTTAACATGCCCGAAAACCCAAAAAACCCGAAACTCATAGTCTCTAAGCAAGAATAAGCTATTTGCAGCCAATTGGAAACTTGGAACAGTAAAAACAGACAATCAAGCAACACATACATACCTGAAGCAATAACTCGTATTTAGAGTTAAATAGGAAGACACTGAAAGCTCTATGCAACAAATTTTCAGACTCGATCTTTTCCATAAGATGACCTGCGTGTAAGATAGAGATCTGTTGGATCAAGATTATTACATTACAAAAAAACCAAAATCATTGCACCATTACTAGATATAGATCCGATAAATTATATTCGAAGTTTCAAAGAGCCAATAATCGACCATAACTGACAGCAAACTATTAGTGGATCTTTTACACGAAAGTTGAATCACTTCTAAGAGAGATGCACGAACCCACCCCCTCGATTTTCATGATCGAACAAAGTACGATAAAATAAGTGTCGAACTTACAATTGTATTTGCTATCGTGTCCAACAACACGATCGTTCTCATCAACCAATATGCATCTGCAGAGTTTTAAAAAAAATAAAAAAAAATTCAAATAAATAAATAAGAACACCATAAGAATGACAACATCAAAATCACAGAAAACTCTTCCTTAAAGGCACAAATTCAATAAACCGACAACAAACTAACAAATCAAGTTTCAATTAAAAAAAAAATTAATAAAAAATCCCAGATCATCACAATCGCATCGATTAAAGAAAAAAGGAAAAGAGAACAAACTCGTCTTCAAACATGAGGCGCCTCTGAACAGCGTCCATGGCGGAATCAGCGGCGGCGTCGCCCATAGTTGACGGAGGAGCTGTGGAGGTGGAATATGAGGAGAGGCGGAGGGTTCTTCTGAGTGCGGCGGGTGTGGAGGTGAAAATTGATCTAGGTTTAAGAAATAGGGGTTTTAATGGGAAAGCAGACGAAGAAAAAGCTGATGCAGAATTCGCCGCCGCAGCCAACCAATTTTGAAATCCGACGCCGGTCAATAATCCCATTATTTTATA